TGTACTCGTAAATTGAAAAAAGAAAAACAGTTATAAAATTAACACATTACCTCTACGACTATTAATTTCAGATGAAAATAGTTCTTATTTCATTTTATGCGAGCTTGAGTAGTAGTTGAGTTTTAGAACATTTTTAGCGTCTGCGATTCAAACTCGTGTCTTTTGGAGTATATAGGTCAAGGAAACAACTAGGCCATGCTCTCCAGACTCTGTGAACAAATTGAGAAAATTATTAAACAGGTAGGATCCAATATTGGCAGGTTTTATTATAAGCCACTTAGTTGCAGAGCGCTCGTTGAAGCATTATTGATATACTCGTAGAGAAAATATGAAATTCTATTTCAATACGTTTTATAGCAATTAAAAATAATGAAGGAATATACAAAGCCGTATAAGTGGTTCTTTTAATAGTTATTACTCTGTGCTTTGTATGCATTTTGTTTGTCTTGAATAGTTTTTGATTGAATAGATTAATTAGCCGTATTTCGGATGTATTATCGGAATGGTGCATTAGCCTTCGCTAATGGTATATGCTGGCGTATAGTGCACGAAGATGATAAGATGAGCATGAGGTCAGATCAGTTAGACCATCGGCAAATTCACCAGGAGTTTTAGAACGGTTTTCTGCGGGAATCACGTGAAGATCAACTTGGTACATTGCTAGCGGTAAGATCATTCGACCACGTTACTAACAATCCGTTTCAACCCCAAATGATTGTTATTTTTATTTCTTATTTACACTATGTCATACCTCGATATTTTGGTGCCTGAATAGGGCCCTGGATTAGAGAAAGCCTGTTGTTCTGATTATTTATTAAGGCATTGAACATTGCGGCATTTCGCGTTTCACTAACGAGACCCGTACCTTGCGATTCTATTGTGCGCCGTAATGTATTCAGTTTAAAGAAAATTCTCGAATGTTTCATGACACACAAGCGTTGGTTGGCCTTTGAATTCCCCCTCTTTTGTGTAATAGAGTTTTTGTTAAGATCATGCTGATTTGCGTTGCTTTATGAGAATACAATAAAGACGCTGATTAGCTTTATATTAAAATACAAGTATTTCTATAGACCCTTATTCATGGAAATGTCGAATGGCTAATAAAGCTATCGAGGTAGATTTGGTACGAAATTGTCTGCGTGAGGCCCTAAAAAATCCAATTTCGAGAAAGAGGTCAATCGTCGAATCCAACTCGGATGGGCAGCGTTCGGGAAGCTCCGATATATCTTTTCGTCCAAATTTCCGCAGTGTATCAAGACGAAGGTTTACGAATAATGTGTGTTGCCAACTATCAACAAGCTCAGAGTCACTCAGAGGACAATGGAGAGGGCTATGCTCGGAGTTACTCTGCGTGATCAAATTAGAAATGAGATCCGCAGAAGACCCAGAGTGACCGACATAGCCCGAAGAACTGCGACTCTGAAGTGGCAATGGGCAGGACACATAGCTCGTAGGACAGATGGCCGTTGGGGTAGTAAAGTCCTGGAGTAGCGACCACGGACCGGTAGACGCAGCGTGGTAAGGCCTCCAGCAAGGTGGACCGACGATCTGGTTAAGATCGCTGGAAGGCATTGGATGCGAGCAGCGCAGGACCGATCGTCGTGGAGATCTTTGGAGGAGTCCTATGTCCAGCAATGGGCGTCTTCCGGGCTGCGATGATGAGGCCCTATAGCTGTGTAGCAGTACGCTGCGTTGAAGAATGAGACTCACACGTAATAGTTCGGTACCTTCTCTACAAGAGTCTCCAGAAGACCTATCTTTTTTATCCTATGGTAATTGATACTGGTATCCACGAGATACTTATCGTCACAGAGAGTGTTATACATATAGATGAAATGCACGTTACATCAACTTGCACAGGTTCCCTCCCCTTTTAAACTGTAGGACTGAAAGGATTAACCGCTTCCAAGTTAGATTTCGCGCACTCTTTATTTTGATACATTTCACTGTCGCCGCAACATTTCCATATGCATATACGGCCGATACAGAGGCACCCTAACCGGATAGACTCTGCATATTGGTACCAAGTTCCAGTTTTGTTTTCTATCCCATAATGTATTGGAGCTGTTGTGGAGTAACTCGCCGTCAAAAGGCTGTACCCCCGTCAGAGAGACTACAAGGTAATGTGTAGGATTCTTAGCCACTAGAAAACTACATGGTGTACCTACGAGCAACATTTCATGGGCCGATTAGTGGAGTGGAGAGATCAGACTTTCGTACCCTCTCCGCCATCTCATTTTCCGAGATTACTTTCTGTTTCAGACCACCTGCATCCGGATCTGTCACATGCAGTTTATTAGATTGTTGCTTCTTAAGCCGACATACAACTAAATCGAAAAAACAACATAATTTTAATTTCTTTTTCGAATTTCGAAAAATAAAATTAATTTTCTTTGAACATCATATTCAAAATCTAGATTAAGTAGAACTTTAATCATGACAAATGGAAATGAATGATTGTCCGTGGCTGCGTAGTGGGCGCTAAACACAGATGTCACACTTGACCTTTGTAAATTTTGCGTAGGCCGCTTGTCTGATCTGTTTGTGAAGATTGTGATCTTTTCAGTCTATCTATATCAGAGAATAAAAGTAATATTAATAGAAATTGTTATTTATCTCTTTACTAGCTACTCGCCCCGACTTCGCACGGGTGTACATGTATTATATATATAAACCTTCCTCTTGAATGACTCTATCTATTAAAACAACCGTTGCAAAATCCGTTTCATAGTTTTAAAGATTTAAGGTATATATAGGGACAGACAGCGACAGCGACTTTTTTATACTATGTAATAATAATGATTATAGCCAGAGTAATTTTAATAATTATCAGTATAATATATAGGCTACATTTTTTAAATTTGACGCGGGTAAAACCTCGGGCTCAGCTTGTGATATATAATTTGCGACGTTTCTTGTATTATCGGGAGTTATTATAGGTTTGTTTACCATACAAAATACATAAAGACAATTGATTGTTAACATAAACAAGAAAATATGATTGTACGTTTTTTTTATGGGTGATAAAGGAATGATGCAATCCCTGTGCCTACGGTTTACGCTGGTGGTGTACCAATGGACCAATGATCAGGAGCATGGTATTATCTATCAGGATCATGATTATGGCAAATTTATTAGAATTTTATAACCCTACAGTTATTAATTTCTAATCAATTTGCCACAATGATAATCCCGCAGTTGTAGTACGTATACGATTTAATATTGCACCGAATTACGTTCATTACATAGAATAAAACAAAGTCGCTGTCGCTGTCTGTCCGTCCCTATGTATGCTTAAATCTTTAAAACTGCGCAACGGATTTTGGAGGTACGTGAGAAATGTCACTTGTCGTCGTGTCCGACTGTTTGCAACCACGTCGTGTCGTTACCCACAAACCACGCTAATGATTGTCCCACTATGCGAGTATTACATCTGTTAAATTTATTTTTGGACAGGGTCCAAGATGCTTACGTTTCCACAGAAGCTTTGAATTCTATAATAAATAAAATAATGTTTTTGTCGTTTGGTATGTTAATTACTACGCGGTTTCCTTTAAAACTTACAGCTAATTGCCAACACGTTTAATTTTTAAAACTATTTAACTTAACTTTAAAACTATCGTTATTTATTTCTTTATTCAATTAACACAGTTTATAATAATAGTTTTAAAACTATTATTATAAACTGTGTTAATTGATTTCTTTATTCAATTAACACAGTTTATAATAATAGTTTTAAAACTATTAAACTATAATTAAACGTGTTGGCAATTAGCTGTAAGTTTAAACTGTGTTAATTGAATAAAGAAATAAATAACGACAGTTTTAAAGAGAAACCGCGTAGTAATTAGCATACCATGGTTGGTAATAGTGTTATGAGTCCACACTACTAACAATCCTCTACCTACCAATATACACATGAATTATTGTGATGTCTTGGTTATAAATAATGTATTACGGATTTTAAATAAATGAAATTCAAAACATTCAAAAAATTCAAAATATCTTTATTCATGTAGGTCTATTACAGACTCTTATGATATGTCAAATCTACCGTCAGTTCGGAATGTTATCGAGATGAGAAGAACTGACAAGAAACTCAGCTCGTATTTTTTCAAATAATAGTGGAACATGTTTATAATAATACACAGTCATTAAAATTCAAATTGGGAGAATAGAGTGACCACCAGCATATGCTATCACAAAGAACAAAAAATTTTATCAGTGTTCGCAACCTGAACAGACCAATCCCCACAAGCAAAGTTGTAGTTATAGAATAAGATGGATATAGAATATCTTTTATATAAAAACGTAAATATAGTTGCCAGTAACTTATAAAAATCAAGGATTGTAAAAAGAAACGTCAAGGATTAGAGAGAACGCTTGTTTATTATTGAAAATAATTAACAGCATTATTTTGTTACTGTTCCTATAAGAATGCTTTAACAACAAAGGGATTCTATAAATATATTTCTGAGTAACTAATTACGTTTTAGTGACGATATCGCGATACAAAATTCGATAATTGAAGTTAATCATGAGCATTTCATGACAAAATTCTGCTCATGCCGTTGTATAGGTGGCAGTTACAGTCACCATAAGCTTCTTTGTCATTCAAATTACATAGAATTCTTACTAATATTATAAATGCGAAAGTAACTCTGTCTGTCTGTCTCGCTTTCACGCCAATACTATATAACCGATATAAATGAAATTTGGTACACAGATAGTCTAGATTCTGAGAAAGGACATAGGCTACTTCTTGAAGCGAAAAAAGGGTTGTAAGTGGTTGAAAGAGGAGATGAACGATTATATGTAAGCTTTTGATTAAATATAAGTAAATATGACATTCAAAATTTGCAATAATTCTGGACAGTGGGGAAAAAATGTTAATACAAAAAACTTGACTTTCTAACGTTTAATCCATCCTGTATGACTAATGAATTTTGATTTAATTTGACTTGAATTGATAAAAAATGTGTTTGTTTGTCTGTTAACAGGATCTCGAGATATACGACGCAGTGGTAGATGTAAGGTGCTACGAACTGACAGCGTTATTCCTATGTTCCTTATTCGTGCCAAAATGTGGCCCTTTAGGACACATGGTGCGACCGTGTAGGAGTTTATGTCAAGGTAAGTGCTAATTAAACACATTTAAACTTGATTGTCTTAATTTAAACACCCTTTTGTGCTATTTGTAAGTTTGTGTTCACAGAAAATCCTAAACATGTAAAGTTGTACAACGTTTGTTTGAACACTAGCCGAGTTTCTTGCCCGTTTTAGTTGAACTATAATTTTTACACCATTAAGACCCAAGTGTCCTCTCGAATGTATTCTTCCCGCTAGTCGCTTTTGCCCCACCACTCCAGCACACAGATATTCATTCTAGAAAGGTAGTGCTTAAAATATATCGCTACTATCTCACGCAGCCACGGCATAACTCAGTGGCGCCCTCTATTCCTCTAACTTTCTTATCATAATGGAAGCATCTCATATTTGATTCCATGAATAAAACGAATATTTACATCAAAACAGCATTTTAAATGTAGCATTAGACTAAAGAAAAATAAATTTATATGTATTTAGTAGTGTTATTATGGATTTCTCAGTTGGTTATTATGGTGATTGTAATAAAACTAGGTAATTGTGGATAAATGAAACTAATTTCCTTCCGTATATTGTGAAAAGATCAAATGCAATGAAAAAAACAAAAGAAGAACAGTGACAGGAATATTAAAAAGTATATGGCTATAAAAAAGTATTAACAAGGAGGTTTTAATCTCCAACTTCTGATTTTTTCCATCCCAATTATAACACAGATTAAATTATATATATAACATTTTGCTTTATATTTATATATTATTTTTTGACATTTCTCGTTTATATAGTGCACTGCCAACAATCTTTCTCTGCACCACTCATGGTTGCCTGGTAGATAACGCCGCAAGATGTTAAGTCCGCCATATGTACCCATTGTTTTTGTGCATTATAAAGTTAAATAAATGAATAAATTAGCAAGAAACTCGACTTACTCTTTTGAAAATGTATATAAGATTTTATATGTTTAATGCAAAGAAAATATACCTATAGCCAACGGTGTTAAAGGAATGTTAGCGACACTCATATATAAAAATTTAGGTAGATAAATAGTTTATGTTATATATAAAATTCTCGTGTCACAGTTTTCGTTCCCATACTCCTCCGAAACGGCTTGACCGATTCTCATGAAATTTTGTGAGCGTATTGGGTAGGTCTGAGAATCGACCAACATCTATTTTTCATCCCCCTAAATGTTAGGGGTAGGCCACCTCTAATTTTTTTTTTATTTTAAGGCAAAACAACGTTTGCCTGGACAGCTAGTGTTAATATGTTTTCTAATCATGTATATATTGTGAACAGAAACTATGCGGCGTTGCGGCTTCTTTCTGGAAGTGTTCGGGCTCTCGATGCCGGATTATCTCCAGTGCGACATGTTCCCAGAGTCCACGGACACGGACGTCTGCCTCGGCAACAGGGAGGTCAAGGAAGCACGGTTCAGAGCTGCCAAACCAGGTGACTTTTAACCACGTTTATATAGGTAGATGTCGATACAAATTCGCTTGCGAGGGTACCTGTCTCCTATACCACACCCAAGATATCCATTTCAGGCAGCCGCAAATCGGTTTATTGTAAACTGTATATATGACAGTGAAATTACTGAGTAAGGAACTATGACAATGGCAATTGATAATAGTAAAAAGTAAGCAAAACGCTTTGTACTTTAAGTCGCAAATTAGAAGCGGAAATACAAATTTATGTAAACATAGTCATACATACATACATACATACATAGAGTATGAACTAGAATTAGTTCATACACTATCTTGTAGTATTTTCTAGGTTTGCTGGAAGAAATCTCTTTTAGAGATAATCTCGTCCTTGTACATTAGATTTATTGTATCACTATTTTTTTTATAAGCGCGTGTATCAATAAAAATTAAGAAATAAATTTAGTTTCATAGTCATATATCATACTCGTGAACGGGTAAGTTTGTGAGTATCGATGGATAGATTAATGGAACGATGTTTGTTAGTCTTTCACGCAAGAACTACTGAATGGATTTTAATGAAACTTTATAATATTATAGCTTATACTTATACTGTTATTACAATAACAGATAGGTTGTAAATTTTACAGCTAGTATAAAATATGTACCTACATTTGCCTGAAATTACATACCTATAGTTTAATATCTACCAGCTACCCACCCCGGATTCGCACGGGTGTACATGTATTATACATATAAACCTTCCTTGAATCACTCTATCTATTATAAAAACCGCATCAAAATCCGTTGCGTAGTTTTAAAGATGTTAAACGGATGGACAGCGACAGCAACTTTGTTTTATACTAGTAGTGATCAGAAATTCAGTATAATTTTCGACGGATTGTCGTATTTAATTTATTTACTTGTGTTCTATAGTTGGCAGTTGATTTAGCGAGACGTTTTGATGCTCGATGTCTTTCCCAAATATCACTCACTAACATTAAGTATTTGCTAATAGCTTTCTGTCTTGTCTATTTAATTGAGCAAATGAACCAACAATTCGATGGTAAATAGACGAAAATTAATTAAAGTCAGATCAAACGATATTACAACTGTTAAATACATTCAATGTATGTTTGTTAATATATTAGAATAGAATAGAATAGAAAATCATTTATTCAAATAAACTTAATTTAAGCACATTTGAATAGTCATAACATTTTTTTATCTACCGCTCGTTCGGAAAACTGTCTCATCACAAGAAGAACGAGCAAGAAACTTGTGTGTTGCTCTTTTAAATAATCCTTGTAAGTTCACATTTACAAGTCGAAACGTGTGAATACAAACTACCAACCAGCACTAATTTTTTGGGTCAAATATAAATATACAATAAGATTAAATCAGTCGTAGTGATAAGAGCAGACCAGTCCCTACAAGCAGCACTTGTTCACGAGTATGACGGATGAGCCAGGCATCACTGCGCTCGACCATATTTTAGGGAGCCCAATCAAAATTAATAATTGAAAAAAAATTAGTAACTTCAGGGGCGGATCGTGAATTTGTGGGGCCCTAAGCTAAATCTACTAAGGGGCCTACCTAATTATATTACTCAACTAAAAAAATACACCGACCAAAAACAAGCGACCAGAAATTCCCCGTTCCTTTCGATAGGGGCTGTTCAAGTATTACGTAAGCAGATTTATCACAATTATTTACCCCCCATCCCCCGTTGTCAGCAAAAGTAAGCAAAGCTCTTACCCCCTCCACCCATGCTTACGTAAACATCTCTCAATTAATGTATTGTTTTTTTTAGCAAAGACAATGTGAGGGTTGCCATTCGTGTAAAAAAGTAAATTACGACCGATGACGTAATCATCATACAGACTCCCCCACCCCCATGTCATCCAAAATAAGCAAAGAAAAGACCCCCCCGCCCCCCTATAGTGCTTACGTAATACTTGAACGGCCCCATAGACGCACACTTGCATGGATTGATTGACCTCAGGGTTGCCAACCTTATGATAGGTTTTTTAACATTCTAGATATTTTTTTTATATTCTAAATACCGTTTCAGTGGGACTGGGGGCCCTTTGTATCCTCGGGGCCCTGGGCTGTAGTCCAAAAATTCCGAGGCCGTTAATTATATATATATATTTTTTTGCACTTTTAAATACAAGGTTTTAAATATACGAGTATGTTACAATTTTGTTTCCAAAGGACTTATCTTTAAAAATTCAAATTCAAAAATCATTTATTCATGTAGGACATTTTAGCCGCTTATGAACATCAAGTTTTTTACATTATAATTTTATTTTTTTTCCCTTCCGTCCAGTTCGGTATATAGATTCAATTGAGAAGATCTGGCAAGAAACTCAATTGTATTACTTTTTTTTTAAAGCCAATTTACTTACAATGTATATTTATATATGTGTCTATGTCTCTATTACATGAAAATCCAGTGCATGAACAATTATTGCCATGCACGCTCGTCATTCAAGTAATCGTTCAAAAAATGAAAACTGACTAAATGTAAAATTATAATAATGTTGTAAAATATACGTACAATTTTCGTTCAGACAGACAGATCTCATTAGCATGCAAGTTTATCTGTATCTCTGCGTGTTCTCATCTCATTTACCTACTTGTGTTTCATCTTATTCACTACATCAGCTTCATTCATCACGTCTCTCAATACCGCTCATTAGTTGTTTTATTAAATTATTAATTAACTAGTCTCGCAGTTAAATTAATTACCTGAGCACTGATATTTTAGAGATCCTACTTATTGTATTATATATATACATATAAATATAAATAACTCAAAGGTGACTGACATAGTGATCTATCAACGCACAGCCCAAACCACTAGACGGATCGGGCTGAAATTTGACATGCAGGTAGATGTTATGATATGGGCATCCGCCAAGAAAGGATTTTGATTAATTCTACCCCCAAGGGGATAAAATAGGGGATGAAAATTTGTATGAAACTTTGTCAATTTTAAAGCGATCGAGCTGAGACTTTGCATGCATTAAGCTACTATGACGTAGCCACCCCCTAAGAAAGGATTTTGATATCTTCCACCCCTAAAGGAATAAATTAACGAGAGCGAAGCCGTGGGCGAAAGCTAGTCTATAAATATAAATAAAATTGGAGTGTCTGTTTGTAATATTGAAATAACCGTTTTTTACTACATGCATATGAATAGAAATACGGTAAATACACCAAAATAACACTTTTTTCAATTTTTGTCTGTCTGTCTGTCTGTCTGTTCCGACTAATCTCTGAAATGGCTAGACAGATTTTGACGAGACTTTCATTGGCAGGTAGCTGATGTAATAAGAAGTAACTTAGCCTAAGTTACTTCTTATTACATCAGCTACCTACCAATAATGATGCCAAAATGAATTTAACTTTATTTTTCTAACTTTTATTTTAGAAAAATAAAGTTAAATTCCACGCAGACGAAGTCGCGGGAACAGCTAGTTTATTAAAAAATGGAATATATTATTACATTTGTACCGCCTACAGTTTCTCTGCACAATCTGTGGTTGACTGGTAGCAAATACCGTAAGGTGTTAAGTCCGTCACATGTACTTTTACTTTGGTATTTTACGAATTGAGTTTATATAAATAAATGAATATATAAAAATGTTTGGGAAACTACTCTGCTACCAAAATGTTAGGGAATTTACTCTCTGTATATATATAGGGAAAAATGAGGAAGCGTCAGTCATTTACCTTTATGGTTCTGCGGATTTCTTGGGCTTCAGGGTCTCGAAGGTATCTTCGCTAGCTTTCCAGTTTCACAGTAGGTTTAACACAGTCCTAATTTATTTTAATTCACAACACAATGCGCGCACGCGTCAAGGCCGCTGTACGGCCCGTTTGTTACTAGGTAAGGGAGGGGAAGAGAAACCGCGGGAAAACAAACTAACGGACTCTAATATAATAATCTGTGCTTACGATGATACAGGGTAGATTTTGAACAAAAAAGTATATTTAATATAATATATATCTACGAGAACAGAATCAAATAATAAGAGATTTTCTAAGAATTCTAAGAAAATTCTTTAGTGACATTGCCATAAAAAAGATATAAACATAAAAAGGGAACGTAATGTTATTTCTTTGAAAACTTTTATGATGCCATTCAAAGATTATATCTAACACCTACTAAATTCTATTAAATAAAGCAGTCAATATTATTTATAATCTATTGAGGGTATAATAGTAAAGTAACATTTATTAGAAATCAACATTACAATTTAACTTAACGTAGGAATATTCCATGAAATATTGGCAGAACCAGCTTCCGATGCAGCCAAGTTATTGTTCTGGATGGTATCATATTAGATTAAGTTTTTTTAGTTTATTTTTGTTAATTAGTATAGGTACGATGGGATTGTCATCGTCACATTATGTGCACAAAAATCCCAAAAAAAAATAAACAGAAAAAAAAAAAAATTAATTTACATTAATGTATGTTGTAATATTAAAGCTACTAAAGGTTTCACTTAATTAAGACAAAGTATATTGTATTTGACGACCTCGGTGGTCTAACGGTCTAGCACACCGCTTTACGTCCTATGGTCGCGGGTTCGATTCCTCGCACGGCACAAACATTTGTATTTATGAGTATGATTGTTTATATCAGTCTGGGTGGTCTATGTATAACATGTACGAGTATATATTTACGAAAATCTATGTATTTGTATCTGTTATCTAGTACCCATAACACAAGCTAGCTTAACTTGGGTCTAGATGGCGCTATGTGAATTGTCCTGAGATTATATTGTATTGGCTTGCGCTAAAACAAAACAACCAAGTAAAACTAAAATAAATACAGGTCTTTCACTTAAAGTTAAAACAATTCACTTAAAATTATTAGTTTAAATCAATCTTTATTTTAATAAACTTTTTAAATCTATTAACAACTTATTATATAATTGTATGGACTGGTAGTGTGAACTATGCTTCACCACCTCTAGTGTAGGTGACAGCTGACTCTCGAAATGTGGTCTCCTTGTGCTCTCTCTGGTTTGTCCTCATCAGTTTCATATTCTTGTATATGTTTAGCGAACTGTGGCAATGTTACCAGAATATAGAGAGACGGTACAATAAGAATGTCTTTAACGTTGGAATGGGATACCAATTTTAAATGCTGCATACCCCACGTCTGGCGGTGCGATGGCCACGTGGAGTGTGCTGATCGATCCTACCTGCTCAACTTTATTAGGCACATTGATTTAAGTAGAAAAAGTATAATCCATCACATTTTCTTGCTCATTCTTCTTGTGATGAATCTGCATTCCGAATGAGTGGTAGAATCAAAATATGACTATTCAAAAGTGCTTGTAATGAGTTTATTTGAATAAAGATTATTTTTATTTCTATTTCTATTTCTATTTAAATGACGTAGTGGAATAACTTGAGACAGTCATGCTCGCTATAAAGTTCAAACTTGTGGCGGCGTGGTGGGCCGGGTCGATGCTCCCTCTAATATGGTTGAGTGCAATGATGGCTGGCTCATCCGTCATACTCGTGAACGGGTGCTGCTTGTGGGGACTGGTCTGTTCAGGTTGCGAACACTGATTAGATTTTTTGATCTTGTTTATTTTTTTATATAGCATATGCTGGTGGTCACTCTAGTCTCCCAAATTTGAATTTAAATGAAATAGTATTATTGTAAATATGTACAATATTAAAAAAAAAATACGAGCTGAGTTTCTTGTCAGTTCTTCTCATCTCGAAATCATTCCGAACTGACGGTAGATTTGACATATCATAAGAGTCTGTAATAGACCTACATGAATAAAGATATTTTGAATTTTGATTATTGTTGCTAATTAACAGTTTGTATGTAACGTGCAACTGCGATCGGAACGAAAGTAAATTATATTTACTGCTATATATGTAATCCACTCAATATCTCTAACAATTACAAAATTATTCTGTTAAGGAGGCGGTATGGGTGAACAACAGTAAGGTCACTGTTGATTAGTATTTTAACAGATTTAATTTTGGATATGTTTTTTGCTACTATTGTTCTATTGTTTACTCTTCTGTATATTGTTTTATATTATTTTTTATTTATTCATTTATTTCAGGCAACTAGGCCCATATTATAAATACCTTATAGACTAACATACATATAATATAATATTTAAAAACCAATACAACGATATTGTCTGTGTGATCACGGCACTGAAGACGGCAATCTGCCACGGTAGCGCCGATACACCACACCTTTCGGCCAGTAGTCCTCTTTCATGAAGGTGGCAGCAAGTCGGTGGGGACCAGGGCCAAAAACGCTTTGAAACTCGCGTTGTGACTCGACTTCAGCTGCGTTACCCTCAATGTCAGGTTACTCTTGGTACGAATATAATCGACAATGTCCTGCTCCTTATGTATGTATGTTATTTAAATGTAGAGATGTAGAGTGTCTGAATTACAACATTACAAGAACATTCTTATTAGCATATGTTTTTGAACAACATAATGTTTTAGGACCCTGTTGGCGGCAGTCTTCCTCTAAAGCATCTATCAAGTGTTATACAAGTGTCTTAAATGTCATAAATGTAATGGATTGAGGGACCGTATTAGGCACATTGATTTAAGTAGAAAAAGTACAATCCATCACATTTAAAATAAGTATTGTTGCTAAGTAACAGTTTGTATGTAACGTGCAATTGCGATCGGGACGAAAGTAAATTGTATTTACTACTATGTATATAGTACTACTATATATACATACATATATTTACTACTGCTATATATTTAATCTGTTACTTATCCACACAATATCTCTATCAAACTTAAGCAAACATTAAAGAGATTACCAATAAATCTACACATCCCAATGAACAACTATTATGACATAAACATACACATTGGTTTTATGTCCAATTCGTTTACTATTACCGCCTCTGGAATAATATACCTGTAAACCTGCATCGAGTAAGCACATTTTTAAAAAGAAATGATTAAATTTTCTCTTAAGTTAAAAAATGAATTATAACTGTATTGCATTGTGTTAGTATTATATCTTATATATATATAAAATTCTCGTGTCACAGTTTTCGTTCCCATACTCCTCCGAAACGGCTTGACCGATTCTCATGAAATTTGTGAGCGTATTGAGTAGGTCTGAGAATCGGCCAACAATCGGCCTAAATGTTAGGCGTAGTCCACCCCTAATTTTTTTTTTATTTTAAGGCAAAACAACGTTTGCCGGGACAGCTAGTTTATCTATATTTAGCATTAATGTATGATATTATATACCCGGTACTATATATTATTATATGTATGTATTTATCTGCATTTCATATATATTATATAATATTTATTAGTAACCCTGGGTAACATAACTGCCTCACAACGCTTTCTGTATACCTAAAGCTTAGCTGGTGGAGAATGCCATACGGCATTATGCTGGCCTTTGTACAAGTTATTCAAATTCAAATTCAAATTCAAAAATCATTTATTCATGTAGGACATTTTAGCCGCTTATGAACGTCAAGTTTTTACATTATAATTTTATTTTTTCCCTACCGTCCAGTTCGGTATATAGATCCAATTGAGAAGAACTGACAAGAAACTCAATTGAATTACTTTTTTTTTTAAAGCCCGTTTATTTACAATGTATTTTTATATAGGTGTCTATGTTTAACATTAAATGAAAATTCAGTGCATGAACAACTATTGCCATGCACACTCGTTATTCAAGTAATCGTCTAGTGAGTAATAGGCTTTGCTCAGTAAATATGATTTAACAGATGTTTTGAATTTATTTAAGGGTAATTCCAACATATCCTTTGGTATCTTATTGTAAATTTTTATACCTATTCCCATAAAAGACCTATTAACTTTTTCTAAACGATACTTGGGGACAGCAAGTTTGTCTTTAAATCTATTATTAATATTATGAATATTGCTATATTGCTATTAAAGAATAAATAAATAAAAATAAATACACAGAATATTTAATATTTATTAATTACTGTGCAGCATCGTCACGTTACTGTGAAATGGTGTATATGTAAGGGATCCATCTTAGCGTTTTACCGTGAGTTAAGGTTTTCAGGGAACCTCTAAAATTACGTCTTCACTAGTGTGTCCATAACACTCGACTGTAAAATAAAAAAAGTTTTAACCAATGCACTGAAATGGCTAAAAGCTTTAATGTATGTCTAGGTGAACATAGTGGTTTTGTGGCACCAAACATATATATATCGACTGTTTAAAATATTAATGATAATAATTAAAACCAAATTACAACTAATTAAACCAATTACATATACTAGAGATAACAAAATAGAATAAAATAACATTAATAAATAATAAACATTAAATATATATACAACTACTTTGCCGTAAGGGTTAAATTCAATAGATAATTCTTGTATAGTTTTTTAAAGGTGAATAATGACGGTGGAAGATTGTTCCAGCATTAACCCTTTATACTTCTTCACTAGTGTGCCCAACTGGGTTTCAATGCGATGTTAAACGCTGCATACCCCACGATTGGCGGTGCGATGGACACGTGGACTGTGCTGATCGGTCCGACGAGCTCAACTGCCGCGTGTGCAAGCGCTCCGGAGATGTTCACTGCGGCAACCAGCGCTGCATCTCGCAGTCTCACATGTGCGATGGGAAGCTGGACTGCCCTTGGGGACAGGACGAGAGGAATTGCTGTAAGTTCTAGATTTTCTATATTTTGCAATTCCCTCGCATTCGTAATGTCCGTAGACCTGTTCATGTGACAATTCGCTTGTTATCAAGTGGATTATCATTTATTGTTTATGTACCTCGTTATTTTAATATTGTCATTAGAATTTTGAAAACTCACTCTTCGCAATACATTGAACGGACATCACGTATTACACGGTTTCTCAAAAAATATTTCATTAAATTCATCCTGAATTTATTATTTAGTTGCCATTCCAAGTACGTGTGGCGATATCCAACAGCTGACAAAAGTGTCTGCATGCGTAAAAAAATCATCAATACGTCGCTTATTAAAGAAAAGTGGTCCAGCGGTCTAGCACAACGCTTTACTTCCGATAGTCGCGGGTTCGATTCCTCGCACGGCACACATTTGTATTCATGAGTATGATTGTTTGTATCTTGATATGATTTACACAAATATCTAAGTACTTATATCAGTTGTCTAGTACCCGTAACACAAGCTCTGCTTACTGCGGGACTACATGGCGTTGTGAATGAATGAATGAATGAAAAACACTTTATTGTTCCTCTCACAGAAAGAAATTAACAATTACATAAATTAATATGTACACTAAAAATAAAAAAAACCAACAATTTCAATATAGAGGTAACAATGGGCGGCCTTATCGCTAAATAGCGATTTCTTCCGTTGTTGTGTTAATTGACCAGGGTTATTATTATAAAAAAAATTGTTTGTAACAGTGAGACTGAGCGAGATGAATGGAGATGTGGGAAGCGGTGAGCTGCAGGTGTACCGCGCCGCCAACCAGTCCTGGTTCTCCGCGTGCCTCACCACCCTGGACGAGAGCACTGCCACCAAGCTCTGCTCCATGCTTGGATACTCGTAAGTAACATAAACTTGGAATACAGCGCCATCTAGTAGAATAGAAAATCATTTATTCAAATAAACTTACATTGAAGCACATTTGAATAGTCAATACTTTTTTTTAATCTACCGCTCATTCGGAAAGCACACATCACAAGAAGAACGAGCAGGAAACTTGCGTGTTGCTCTTTTAAATAACTTTATTATTACTTTACATTTTTAAGTTTAAGTGTGTGAATACAACCCACCAATTAGCACTAATTCAATTAAATACTCAAATAGAAAAAATATTAAATATATAACCAACTGGTTAAACAATTAATAAGAGGAAATCAGTCATAGTGTTACAAACTAAATCAGTGTTGTAAATACTGCTTGTAGGGACTGGTCTGCTCTTATCACTACGACTGATTTAATCTTATTGTATATTTATATTTGACCCAAATAAATTAGTGCTGCTTGGCAGTTTGTATTCACACGTTTCGACTTGTAAATGTAAACTTACAAGGATTATTTAAAAGAGCAACACGCGAGTTTCTTGGTCGTTCTTCTTGTGATGAGACAGCTTTCCGAATGAGCGATAGATAAAAAAAAATGTTATGACTATATTCTATTCTATTTTCATAATGACTTCAATGGTTTCGAGCGTACAGTCTTACTTCCGATGGTCGCGGATTCGATTCATCGCACATTTATGAGTGCGATTGTTTATTTATTTATTTACATGCTCTCGGTGAGTATTGTATAGTGAGTAGTTTATATTGGTCTGTACATTTTCTATGTATATATTTATAAAAAAAATGTATTTAAGTATTACAATCAGATGCCTAGTGACCCATGACATAAATTCGGGCCAGCCTGAGACTAAATACTGTGGTGCCCGCGATATATTCTGTTTTTTTAATAATAAATTAATTAATATTAGTGGATTTAGCATTTTAAATTAATATGAAAAAAATTAGTAATTTAACCCTAGAGGGGATTTATTTTGTCTGTATGTTGTCATATATTTAGCAAATCTATACATATAAATAAAATTGGTGTGTTTGTTTGTAATGTTGAAATAATCTTTTTTTACTACATGCATATGTATATAAATATGGTACATACACCAAAATAACATTTTTTACAATTTCTGTCTCTCTGTTTGTTCCGGCTAATCTCTAAAATTGCTGGACCTATTTTGACGCGACTTTTTTGGCAGATAGCTGATGTAATAAGAAGTAACTTAGGCTACTATTATTTTAGAAAATTAAACTTAAATTCCACGCCGACGAAGTCGCTGGAACAGCTAGTATTTAATAAATGTGAAAATTTCTTATTTCATTCAGCCGTTTACGCAAACCTTTACAAATAAGCAATTCATCAGATTTCAGTTATAGTTTTATAAATAAAACAAAATATCAACAGGTGGGTGAATAGAAGCACGCCAGTGAGTGTCCCTGGCCACGTGGGGTCTAGGGCTGGCCGTATGCATATGCACAGCGTCGCACAAACATTCCGCGCGTTTCAACTCAACGAGGGCGGTTTGCTGAAAGAACTGAAGGAATGTCGACAGGATACCACGAAAGTTCACCTCGTCTGTCAAAATTATGGTAAGTTTTATTTTATATAACGTAGGGGGCAAACGAGCTAGCGGCTCACCTGATGGTAAGTGATTACCGCCGTCCATGAGCACCCGCAACACCAGGGGAATTGCAAGTGCGCTGCCGGGCTTTTAAGGAGGAATAATCTCTTAAAGGTTTCAATTTAATCGGTTCGGAAATACCATTACTGGAAGGTGATTTCACATGTGGTTGTGCGTGATAAGAAGTTTCTGGAAAAACGCTCGATGGAGGACCGCTAATCATTCAGATGATAAGGATGGTATTTTAGCCGGTGTCGGAGAGGTTGAAGAGTAATCGTCTATCATGGTATGGACATGGAATGAGTAGGAACGAGGATAATATTTTAAGAAAGGTGTTACATATGAATGTGTATGGTTATAAGGGCAGAGGAAGGCCGAAAAAGATATGGATGGACTGTGTGAAAGATGGTAAGAAAGGAAGTAAACAACGAGATGACTGCGAACAGGGATGAATGGAAGAGAAAAGATATTACGCCAACCACAAATAAATGGGATAAGGAAGAAGCAGATAATGAAGGATGGTATTTTAGGTTTTGGCGGGCAGCGCAATAGTGAAATTCAGAAGCTTGTATTAATACACGTCACGTCATTTTTTGTTTTAATATTTTTTTCCTTACCATCCAGTTCAGTATGCAAATTTAACTGAGAAGAACTGGCAAGAAAGTTAACTGGTATTTTTTTTTCAAAAGCCAATTTGTTTACATTGTCAGCATCCCCCTCCGATCGATCCCCCGTCCAATTCAAACGGGGATCGAAATTACGACGGCCTGAGCCGAGGTTCGAACCCCTCGCGGTGCCCTCAGACTAAAGTCATATCCGTCAGGCGGGAGTTGGCCTTCAGCCGCTCCATAAGTCCTTCCGCGGGTTTGGAGTGCCATCTGCACTCGCCCCCTATCGTCCGGTGAAGCTGTAAAGGCTAGCTGGGGCCTAGCATATGAGTAGTCCAAAAATTCTTAGCTTGGTTGGTAAGAAACTTAACTGATATTTTTTTTCAAAAGCCAGTTTGTTTGCTTTGTCAGCCAGGCATGGTAGTAATGAGTCCACTAGTTTCCCATTACTCTTTCTATTATAGCAATTACATAAAATATTCCTATACAAAACAACTGTTGGTTTATAAAAAAAAATATTAAAGCTATGAGCATATGGTGTCGGGTGGCGCAGCCTGCCGCTGCGTCAAGAACATTATGGCTTTTATTAAATCTCGCCCAATTTCGACCGCTTATAATGCCACCTAATTGCAGGGCTGTCACCTCACAAATAATGTACCATTTAATAATAATAATTGTTAGAAACTGTTTTACAAAGCGTAATAAACAAGCAAAATCGTAGAAAACGAACCAAAATAATATTTATATATATATATATATATATATATATATATATATATATATACATATATACATACGTACACACTTAGAACAATTACAATAATTCATCTTATATTATTTCTACATGGCAACATGGCTGACCTCAGCATATGGCGTGACAGCTAACTGTATATTATATAACAACATAAAAAAACAATTAGAAATCAATATGCTACTATAAAATATTTGCTAAAATGGATTCAGCATATTGCTGCAACCGAAGCTACAGCTCTGATTTTAAGCTGAAAATATTAATTTTATTCCTAATTAAATATCACTAATATTCTTCATTTGATGATCGCGGTGGCCTAGCGGTTTAGACACCGCCTTACTTCCGACTCAGGTTCGATTCCTCTCACAGTACAAACGATTGTATTCATGAGTATGATTATTTGTATTAGTCTAGGTATTTCCTATGTATATCATATATGTATTTATAAAAAAAACAAGTATTTATCTGTTTATGTCAGTTGTCTAATACCCATAACACAAGCTCTGATAAGGTTGTCACTAGATGGCGCTGTCTGAATTGTACTTGATTAATATTATTATTGTTGTATTCTTGTATAAGAGACCTAATATTTACTATGTTTCAAATCTCTGTTTAATTTAGCATTCCGTTTGAAATTTTCCGCAAGTCTAAGAAAACATCTAAAGTAAAAAGTTTCCTGAATTGGGAGTTAGAAAATTAATTAAGTTAATTTCGACGCGCCGACAACCCTGACCGCGTTGCGTCCGTGCGGAATGCTTTATTCAGCGCTTTATGTTTAATAGTCGTCTTTGAATAACGTTTATATACGATATATATTTCTATAGATTTCTTAATTTCGTAATATTTGACGACCTCAGTGGTCCAGCGGTTTAGCACGGTTTCTTAATTCCGATGGTCGCGGGTTCGATCCTTGCACGGCACAAATAAATTTGTATGCATGTGTATGATTGTTTATATCGATCGGGATGTTTTATAAAAGTGTATTGCAATTTTAATTCAAGAGCAACACACAAGTTTCTTGCTCATTGTTCTTGTGATGAGTCTGGGTTCCGAATGAGTGGTAGAATCAAAAATTTTATTTGAATAAAGATTATTTCTATTAATAGTCTATCGTCATACAAAAACTGTATAATGATTAAAACCTTTAAAACGTTTATTAATATTGTGTTAATAGAAATATTCTATCTTTATTAAAATAAATTTAATATAAGCTCTTTTTAATTTTTTTTTATGCTACCACTCATTCGCAGACTTATCACAAAAGGATCACTAATTGTTAAAGCCAACATTGTAGCCGTAGTTCTTGCTAATTGCGTTGAACAGGCGTTATAATTTTTATTATTTGTATACCTTCAAGTTAATCGATATTATTATCTACTTTCACTACTGTTTCTAATTGTTCCACGGATAGTTGCTGTTCTAAATTTATTATTTGTAAAAACTAAAAGACAAAATTAAATGTACTGTTGAACTGTGCATCAGAGTTTGTTATTGACAAATTCCATTGTGTCCACTACGAGACATAAATTGGCGACCGTGACAGGACAATATCCACGTACTCAACTTGGAAGTAAAGGCCTGCCTAAATTCACCATTTTGAAGAAGTAATTTGATGACCGTATCTACTTGGTGATCAGCAAGACTAATATTATATTGCACACCATCCATTCATATTGTGAATTGAAGCGGAGTTCAAAAAATTCAAGGAAATTATCAAACAAGAAAAGGGTGTGATTAACCAACGCCGAGCAGTGAAGTATCAAAAGCATCACCTCGCAGCATATTTAATCAGATAAGTGCCCTGTATATATCCAATAATTTTCTCTATACCTGTTACTAAAACATCCTAAAAGAATCAAATCCTATTTACTATCCTATATACTACTTGTGCAAATTGTATTAACTAAAATCATAAAATATAACTAAAAATAAAACGAAAAATTCTACCCCTAGTGAAATATAACAGTTAACATATGTAGTGTTTATTCAAATATAGTGTTAAAGATATATTTTTTTTGTATATGTTTGCTAATTAAATGATTTATTTCTTAAGTAAATTGTAGTATGTATAACGTATGAAATACAATGTGTAAAATGTATTAAATATTAGGTTATACAAGTATTTTCGCCACGTTTTAAGGGCTATATTCAGATTGTTTTGCCGACTATTTCCAGGTTGCTGGATACACTGGTGATATACAGCTTATTATTGGCCATTAAGATCAGAGCTAGCTGCTTACATCTGGATGTCGCCGGGCGAGGAGCGTGAGCCTATCTATTTATAATTTATAACACATATTTCAATTCTTCTTATTAAGCTCAGAGCAAATAGTTTCGCATTCCTATCAGGCTTTTTGTAATTTTCAGGTATATTTAAATTCTAAAGCAGTTTAAGTAAGGTCAACAGATAAATTAATATTACATTTCATATTTTTTATTATTTTTTGTTTTTGTGCACACTGTAATTGATTTCATTTCTATAATAACTTTATATTATATATACAGAATAAAACTAAGGACTTGTCAAGTACGTCTGTCTGTCAATTTGTGCATACATTGCTTGGCAATTATTTTGTTTTCCTACAATTATTCATAATACAATATTATATTTAAAACAAACTTTCTTAAATATTATAATTGATATATTTACATAAATTTCAAGTTTGTATGGATTGTTATTTAAAGAAATCATGACTGAATCCAAGATTCCAACTACTAGTGTGTACAAAAATTGTGATTTTAAGGATTTGTGTACTAAACGCAGTTCCATTAAAGGACAAATCACCAAGTTTAAAAATTATTTAGATAAAATTACAAGACAGCCTAAACTGACTACTATCGAATTAACAGAGCTATCATTAAAGGTTAATAAGTTCGAAAGTCTGTCAGTTAAATATGATGAGTTGCAAACTCAAATTGAATTAATCAATGTGGAAAATTTAGATTCTGAGATTGATGAGCGTGAGTGCATTGAGCAGGAATTTATATTATGCTTAGCTACTGCCAAAAACATCATAGAGGATCAAAACCAGTTAAAAACAATAGAACAAGATAAAGCGCGCCGTGAATCTTTGTTTCAAGAAGCTCAATGCAGTCTCGATCAGAATGAGTTTCGGGTGAAGCTACCGCAGCTAAACATTGCGAAATACGATGGGACCTTTTTTCGTTGGCTTGAATTCCGTGACACGTTTATTAATTTAATACATAATAATGAGCACATCCCCTCCATACAAAAATTTCACTATTTAATCTCTTACCTAGAAGGTGATGCAGCTCGTGTCATTTCTAATATTGAAGTCTCATCCGCTAATTATAATAATGCATGGCAACTGCTTTATGATCGATACAATAATAAGCGTCTACTAATTAACCACCATTTAAAATCCTTATTTAATGTGCAACAAGCAACTCGTGAATCCGAAGGTTCGTTACGTTATTTAGTCGATCATATAACTAAGAACTTACGTGCTCTCGCCAGCTTAGGCCAACCAACCGACCACTGGGATACCATTATTATTTTTATGATCTCATCCAAACTCGATAATCATACACTTGTAAAATGGGAAGAGCAGCGTAATGCGTTTGATGAATTACCAAACTTAGAACAAT